CCCCCCACGAAGTCATTCACTTGTGAATGATGCGGGAGTTTGTGTTGGTGTTGAGTTGAGGGGTGGATATCATGGCATGGAGTTAAGGGGTGTGGTTGGAGGCGAAGTGAAAGGTAACATGACACGTGGTCATGGGATACGGCCGAAGCTGAAGTAAAAAGTAGCATGACACGTGGTCACGGGATATGGTCGGAGCCGAAGTAAAAAGTAGCATGACACGTGGTCATGGGATGCGGCCGGAGCTGAAGCAAAAAGTAGCATGACACGTGATCATGGGATACAGCCGGAGCCAAAGTAAAAAGTAGCATGACACGTGGTCATGGGATACGGCCAGAGCCGAAGCAAAAAGTAGCATGACACATGGTCATGGGATGCGGCCGGAGCCGAAGTAAAAAGTAGCATGACACGTGGTCATGGGATATGGCCGAAGTCGAAGTAAAAAGTAGCACGACACGTGGTCATGGGATATGGCCAGAGCCGAAGTAAAAAGTATCATGGGTGAACATTGTTCGAGAGATAAGCAATCGTGTAATTCCCTTTGAAGGAGCTTGAAGTGAACGGAAATAAAATAAAATGAAATATAATAATTGAATCTGAGTTGACAGCTGTTCTCGCGTGCCGTGCTGTAATAAATGTTGTTAGGAATAACTGTCGAATTCGAAAGGACGCGATCGTGGCCATTGAATGGGAGCGGTAGTGGCCATGAAAACGGGGGAAAGGCTGTATATAAATAGCCAACCTTGAGTTATTCATAATTTGACCTTGCTGAATTTATAGCGAAGCCTTGCGAAATCACGAGAGAGCACTTCGTCTTCCGAGCTGACAGTTGCAGAGATCGTGATAGTTGCCAGCATTTGCACAAGTGTTAGACTTCGTCATTCAGAAAACCAGCTAACTCTGAGTCCTACCTCGGTCAATAGTAATCTTATTTTATTTTATTAGCCTAGGTAGGGGGGTTAAGCGATCAATAGGAAGGGGGGGAGTAAAGGATAGAGATTGTAGGTGATTCTGATCACTATTCGTGACGTACTTCTTGTAGTGAAGACTGTGATAGCGGAGATGTCGTTTGAAGGAACCCTAAGTGTTGGAGGGGGAGAAGGGGTGAGAGAGGTCAGTTCGAGTTTGTTCTCGACTTTGAGCTCGAGCACGAGCTTGAGTGGGGGAAGTGGGGGTAGGACCTCTATTAGTGGGGGAAATTGGGGTCAAGAGGGTAGCCTTGTCCCAACCAACATTTTAGAGGTTGGTGACAACTAGGGGAAGTGTTATGATGAGGTAGTAGGGGAGGTGGTATGGTATGAATCGTGTTGGAGGTGTAGGGGGGAGCTGGGGCACTTAGTGGAGAACTATAGTATCCCACCTCATGTGCTGGTAAGGCCGGCAGGAGGTGAGGAACGAGCGTGTTCGACTCCAAAAGACCCTTGGATGCCACTATACACGTACTACCTAGCAACTGGGCTCCGGTTCCCCATTCCGGAGTTGCTGGGAGTGTTGCTTAAAGAGTATGGGTTGGGGTTGACATAGCTCGTCCCCAATGGGGTTCGGTTAGTGGTGGGATTTTTGGTAAACTACCAACTCCAGGGTGTGTTAATTCCCACTATAGATTTATTTAAATATTTCTTTATAATTGAGGGGGGTAGTGGGAAGGAGAAGGGGTGGTTTTACTTCACAGCTCGAGTAGCTGGAGGTAGGAGTAGGAACCTGTTCACTGCAGGTCTTTCCTTCATTAAGGGGTGGAAGGAAAAGTTTTTCTTTGTGGATGATATAGAGTGGGGGAAAGGGGATGGGGAGGTAGAAGAGCTTAGTAGGTGGAAAGGGAAGAGGAGAAATCCGAACTAGTATCGGTTGAGGGAGGTGGAGAAGGACGAGGTGAAGAGGTTGGAGAGGGGTGGGGGGGAGCTGACAAACATAATGTACCTCACAAGTCCAAAGGTGGTGGAGTCGTTTGAAATCTATGGGAGGAGCTCGTTGAGCACAGGTCTGTGTTAATTAAAATTAGGTTCTTTTTAGAGTAAGTCTGATTGTAGTTTTTAACTCTATCTTGTTTTGTAGAAGAAATGAATCGCTTGAGAGCTGGGGGCAAGCTGGTACGATTACCGAAGAAGAGGTCAAGGGCGTTAGCCCCGGGTGCTCAGGAGGAGCGAGTTGGAGGTGGGCCTTCAAGGCCTTACTCAAGTGGTGGATCTCGAGATGAGGTGGGGCCCAGTTCTGAGCCCAAGAAGGGCGCAACTAAGGAGGTGGCTGCCCAAAAGAGGCCAAGGGTGGAGAAGGTGCAACCTCTACAGGTCGAGGCCCCGGTCAAGTTCGTACCTCGGCCTCCTCCCGTGCAGATCAACCCAGCACTTCGACAGGTAGAAGCTGTGGTGCCTAGGAGGGGGAAAAGCTCCGTTCCTTACCCCAGGTAAGTCGCCAGCTTCTATGAATCTGGGAGAACGGCCGCCTAATGCTTCATTGGCTCCCACTTCCCTGAGGTGGATCTGCAGAAGGCGAGGGATGAAGTGGCAACAAATGGGGGATCAGGGGTAGTTCGGTAGGCCCTGGAGGTGAGTTGGCTCCTTAGCCTGTCTTTCTTTTCTTCTTCTTCTTCTTCTTCTTTTTTTTTTTTTTTGTAACTAACTTCTGCTTTTTTGTAGATTGCAAACTTGATGAATGCAATGGCGGTTGAGTTCTTCGATTGCCTCCAAGAGCGGATTGCCTTGGTGAAAAAGAACGAAGAGCTCAGCCGCCAGAAGGAGGAGGCGGAGAAGAACTTCGGTGAGCTGACCTTAGAGCTAGAGAAGGTCAAGGAGGAGTTGGCCAATTCCAGGAGGGTTGCCGAGCTGGAGGAGCAAAAGAGGAAGAAATGCGAGCAAGCACTTGCAAGAAGGGAGAGCGAGCTGGCCGAAGTGAAAAGTCAGCCGAGCTGGCGGTCCACAACTCTATGGAGGAGCATGTTTCAGACTTCGTCAAGTCTACCATGTTCGCCGAGGTGGTGGACCTCTACCATTTGCCGACGCTGGTGATGGTCTTCGCTAACTGCCGTAAGAAGGTGAAGGCACAGAACCCAGAGGTGGATGTGACAAGTATCACGTTTGGACCTGAGGAGGCAGGGGTAGAGGAGAATGGGGATAGCAACACAGCAAAGTTTTGTCTTGAGGTTAAATTAACTTGGGAATGGGATGAGGTTGGAAAAACTATCCTTCCGTCGACGTTGGACTTCGAGTTCGTCGTTGTTGACGAGGAGGAGGCCGAGGTGGCACCGAGGACGGAGGTGGCTGACAACATGCGAAATGAAGAAGTGGACCAATAGCTTCAAATCATTGATTGAGCTCGGCCAGCTCATGTTTTGTACTTTTGTAATTTTTAGTTTATTTAGAGAACAATTTGTATTTCAGTTGAAATGAATGAATTAAAATTTTGAACAGTTATGGTGTTTATTGTTGTGGCGTTAAAATGACTTCTGAGGTGGAAATTGTAGCGAACTAGCAACTAATATAACGGACCAGAAATACTAACTGTTTGACCTCTAAGGATAAGAGATCATAAATGTAACTGTGTTAAAGACGAGGTAAAGGTGGATTTGCGAGCTCGAGCTCGGAACGTAAGAATTTGGATAAGGTGGAAGTTTTATTAAGGATAAAATTTCCTTAAGTTATTTATATTCCAAACTCTAAGTATTCTTTTACCCTCAGCATCTACAAGTATATAAGCGCCGGGGTGTGGTATTTCGGCTACTACATATGGGACTTCCCAGTTTGGCGCTAGCTTGCCGAAGCGAGTTTCGAAGCCGGTAAGTCCTGCCTTTCTGAGCACGAGGTCACCAACTCTAAAGGTTCGAGTTCGAGGTCGAACTCATTCATTGTATGAGTTGGCCAGCTTCTGTTTGTATGCTAAACAAAAAACAATGGAAGCTAAATTAATACCTCAAAAGTATATTGAAATGAAGTTCACCTACAATGAGGTCAGCAAAGCCCAACAATAAACTGATAACAAAAGTTATGAGACTTGTAGCAAAACTCAAATAAAAGTACAGTTAAGTAGATAGAACAAAATTAATAGCAAGTAAACTTTCTTTAAAATATCTCTTTTACTAATTCAAAATTTAAAAAAGAATTTATTGTTATTATCTAATCTGTCTTTCTATGCAAAATGTTGTTCTTGTTAAGTATCTTTTAGACTATGTTCAAACTTCCTCCACCAATACAGAATTGCTCTTATCAATTCAAAGTCACTAAAAAATCAATGTAAAAAGCAGTAAAGTCAATAATAAATCCTAGTATCCTACATGTATATACTTTATATTACTGGATGATTTTGCATCTATACTTGTAAACAAATTCCCAATTCTAGCCACATTTAACATATGTAATTATGTACTGCATTTCGCATGTTGCATTTTCTTGTCTCCATGATAACCACAAAGGAGAAGGAAATAAACAGAGGCAAAGTAAAAGGTAAATCCCATAACCCTAGGTCTATGTGCATCCAAGAAAATTCAGTTACAAACTACTGATTAGAAAATAAGGAAAATTCTAAATAACTAGAATGTTTTCTAGTCAGAAAAATAGAGTTACTAGCCAAAACCACAAGCACAAGGGAATCAATGAGCAGTATCACTAGCAAGTATTATTTGATTGTAGCAACATACAAACTTTTCAACAACTTTAGCATGCATCACCCATAGTTTTATATCAATAACAACTATAAGTGAGAGTTCTCTACCAACCAATTTGAATTATTAACTTCTTGCATGTCTACACAAATTTGCATTCTTTCAGAGCAATTGTTACAAAAAATGGAGAGGGAACCTTATTATATACCAAATCTTACAATTAATTTTTTTTTTAAAAAGTCCATCCTATATATCAACTATGAGAGTAGTGTGAAAATCATTCAAGAACATGTATAATTAACTAATTTGTCTTGTGCATGAGATGTCAAACCCTTTTACCACCAACCATTGCTAGAAAAAACCCAAAATTACAGAGATGCTAGAGATGCATTTGAATATTTTGTTATAAACTAACCAGATTCAATAAGCAAAGCTCCTGATTTCCCATATAAACTTAATCAAGACTAATGAACTGAATCATATGAAGAATCCCTTTGTCTCTAACTTTGTTATGAACTGAATATTAGAATGATACAACTAATATGCATTTAGAAGTATATTTAGATTCTAATAAATTAAAACAAAGTTGGTACGCAAATACAACTATTCATGTGAGTATCATCTAGCTAAACCCAAGAACACTGAACCTTTCTAAAATCTCAATTATCTTAGCAAATGATGCTACGCCTTGAAAGCTATAGGTCAAACTTCTGTCATGCTACTCTAGCCAACAAACCCAATACAAGTCAATACTCTATGTCCCTGTTTCTATGAAATAAAATCAACATACGTTATAAGAAAGCTCAACTGAAACTAATCTCAAAAAAAATAAATAAATACCCTGTATTTTAGATCCTTGAGAGCATCAACCACTTTGGCACTACCACTAACTTGACATGAATTTCATTGGATTTAGCATGATCATCCCATGGAATATAGGCACAGATCATTCCTCTAATTTGATTCGATTAGCTTCTTCAAATTCCAGGGTAGTTGGTGCTAACATCTCTACATAGAGAATTACATCTTCAATCTTTTCAATGACAACAAACCTGAACCATTTGAATTAACATATCCAATTTCAAGTGAGAAAGGATGATAAAGATATAAGAGATTTGAAAAGATAAACAACAACTGCAAAAGAATTTGTTAAAACTTGTAACTGTTCTCAAGAATAATTGTTTTGAAAACACAATATTTTAAAATAAATCACTAACTCCTCAGCTTTGATTTGAGAACTATGATCCTTTAGGCAAGTCTGAAGTCTCAACAATGGGAACTTGGAAATACATTACATTAAAAACACCAAATGTTCCTTGAGAATTAAAGAATTGCAATATAGCAAATTTCAATTTCTCTAAAACGTAACATCCAAGTTGCTACAAAACTAAATGCCAACATTTAGACATCTCTCTAGTTTGCACTCTCATTTCTTCGATAAAGATAATTCTTTGTGACATTAACTCAAATAGTTGATGCTCATTAGCATCTGAAATCCCAAATCAATTCAAAAATCAAACACCCATTTTGAACTACAGTACTAAGAAGGCATGATAAACCCAAGTACATGAAAATGGAGAGAAAAAAAAAAAAAAAGGCAAAGAAGACAAACCAGGCTGGTTATACACCCTATTCTAGTCATCAGTAGAATGAGAAGCTCGAACTATCAAATGTAAAGATTGAGTCTTTGACTGAAGTAACCTATAGAATAATTTCTTGAGTTACAATCTAAAGATAAAACCATAAACACAAAGGAAGTCTAATATGTGAAATTAGAGACAGAGGAATTCTAAAACAAAGAATGGTACCTTCAGTCATATCATTACTCAATACAATGTTGATTCCTCTGACACATTCATCATCTTCATCTGTAAATATACAGAATTAATAAGACTGGAATGTTCTATAAATAAAGCAATAAATAAAAGAAATAATAAAAATAGATAAGATTCCAAGCATGTGGGATCTTTATCTTTTCCTCAGACCAAATGCTAAAAAGGAGATCGATTGTTGTAATTTCCCCACCATCACCTGCAATTTTGAGATTAAATTTCAATAACCCAAAAATCTTTGTAATTATGAATGCATAAAGAATCACAAAGTTGGTAAGAAAGCAACAAAAATTTACAGAAGACATTTCAATACTTACATGTTCACCCAAAAAAAGCATTTCAATATTATCACCCAATTTTGGTTGCCAAAAATTATTCTGCTTCCAAAGCCTAATTACTCTAACCTTTATCCTCCATTGCTCTTTAAAAGGATTAAGATCTTTAATAAAATCAAACATATTAGCCATTAGGATCTATATGCCTTCTGTGATACTAAAAAGAGAGACTTGTATAACATTATATATGCATATAGAAGTGTCACGCCCCAAAACCCGATTTCGAGACACGACAGACGCCGTACACTCGTGAGACGGGTCCCACAAGTGCACAAGGCTCGGAACTTATCATATCACACTCTAATACCACCAAAATCTGAAGATCAAATTATAAGATTTCTCTTTGATATCATAAATCTCCAAGTACACTCTAGCTTACAAGATCATGATTTACTTCTAAAATTTATATCCAATTACAATATGGCTAGCCTTCTAACTCGTCACTTCCCGTG